TGTGTTTGTGCGTGGGTGTGGGTGTGGGTGTGTAGACAATATCCATAATTAATTTTATTTTCCATGACAACTCATCTTGATTTAACATGTACCCTGGTTTAAGTAGGTATGTGTCGATCTAACGTGTTATAATAAGATTATTTTGGCAAAGAGTCTCATTATATATGTCATCTCAAGATGATTTAAACCTAAAATGTAATGAAAGCATACAATATTTCAAATACTTAAAAATATTTGCCAAACATATCTGTTTAAAACTTGTTTTATTGGTTAAATATGTGTAGAAATGTGTTTTGGTCATTGTAATTACTAGCTTTTCATTTTCCTTCTGGGTGAAATTATTGTGAGTGTGTGTGTTACCTTAAGGTCCCTGTGTACAATGCTGTTTTCATGCAGATAGCTGACGGCCTGCAGCACCTGTTTGATGACTGTGCTGGCATCCCTCTCAGTGTAAACCCCCTTGTCTAAGATGCGATCAAACAGCTCCCCACCTGACACCCTGCACACATCCACAAAGGAAATCATGAATGTTTCTATCTTTCTAGGGATCTTGTTGCTCCCTTCAACCCTGTTGACATGCCAGTACAACAAAAAGTTCTGATCGTCAAAACTTTTTTTTAACTTTAGCAAAGATCCCACAGTTGCCAAACATGTTAAGTTGAATCTTGGGAAGATGTGTGTAAAATGATCCACACAACAACAATCTCAAGAATTATTGCACTGTCAGACAGAGTGGAATAAGGTCATTTTTCCAGCCTTGAAGCTATATGGAAAATGAAAAGGGAAAATTGCATGTTAGGGGATATAATGGAATTATCGAATAAGCAGACACACAACACACAGCTGTATGATTCAGTTGTGTGAAAGGCATACTTACCACCTATTGTTGTTATTGTCAATATTTGTTTCTACCAAGGTAATCGTTTGTGAAAAATGTGATAAAAGGAGTCCACTTACAGTTGCATGACAAGGTAATAGTGTGTTCGACTCTCATAGAAATCCTCCAGTCCCACCACGTTCTCGTGCTTTATCCTGAAATCGTAAGAAAGATGTTGAGGCATTACTGCTGCCCTCAGTGGCAAATGCTACATGTTTACCTACTTAACTACTTCAGCTATTATTCTCATCCAGCTAATTTGGTTCTTCGAACAGGTTTAAGGTAACTAGTTACTTCTGGATGAAGTTATCTTAAATAACTGTGCAATGAAACTGAAAAAATGTTGATCATGTAAATGTGTTACAGATAGACAGATAGATAGATAGATAGATAGATAGATAGATAGATAGACAGATAGATAGACAGATAGATAGATAGACAGATAGATAG